CATGTGGTTGGGATTGGTTTGGCGCTGGTTGAGTTTTGGGAAGCGAGGGCCCGATCATGCATCAACATTTACGCATTTCAAGCCTTGCGATAAGTACAGTACCTTTTCCCAGATAGGCAATACACTTATATCGATTTTATAGTTGACGTGTGTGGAACAGGGTGTTCGTCTTGTTAATTTAAGTTACCGATACAAAGCGTGAAGGCATCCGAAGATGTGCTAAAGATATCTTAACATTAGAGCTTTGAAAACCTGCTCAGAAATGCCAAAAGAAAATGGCCTAAAACATGAACGTCGGCCTTTTTGATAGGGTAAGATTCTCTCTAGAAACTGTACATAGGTCACGCTAGTGTGCCTTTTAATAATATGCATAATGCAGCTTTCAACTCGAGGAGATCTGTGTTTCTGTTTCCTGTCTGCGACCAACGCGGGTGCCTGATAATGTCACCCGGGCTCTGAGTTCTGATCTACCGGTTCGTCTGGGTGAATCACATCACCCCTCCACGAGGGTCAAAGCACCACCAATCACTCACTTACCCGCCTACCACTTACGACACTATCGATGCAAGATTAACTTCAGGATCAGAGCCAAGCTCTAACCCAGTGAATCAGTGACCCGCCTTCTTGATCAACTTTCTGATTCAGTACATTCACATGTGCAGTACCATGCAGGATAATTGCGCGAATCGATTGATCTGGACTCTAAAAAACAGGTATATAATTTATGTTTCGATAAATGCTATCCTGCGTTACTATCACAGACATGGCATATTGTCCAATCGCTTCGCAATGGGAAAGCGATCCGCAAGCCCCTCGGCTTGGCTTTTACCCAATCCTCTAGTAGGCTCTCACAGACTTGGCTTACCAAGTTTTTATCTGAATCAGAACTAGGACCCGAGCAACTGACCCTGGTCTCTGGGATGTGTGTTACCACTAAAGGGGGAATGTCGTGGATGTGTTCTATGGCTACTCAGATGATGGCCTCGAGGCCAGACGTTACACTGGGCCACCGAGGACGAGGCAGTGGCATAAGCGCCGGCAAAAATTACTAGGAGCTCCCCGGGCAGCTGTTCCTTGTCTGTTGGACAGTTTTCTGTTTCCAGCTGCCCGGTGCCTTATCTGAACTATGAGACTTGTAGCAGTCTATAGACACATGATGTCATGTATAGGTATTCCAAATGTATACATGGGAATAGAATGAGAGTATTAGTCCAATTGCAGTCACTCTTTTACAAAATCAAGTTTTTGCAACAATACGCAGAGCATGACTGACTCTGCGATGATCTCGGAAACTAGATTGTATACCTGTGAGTTAGAGTACATGTATACGCAAAACCCCGATCGACACAGATAGATTGACTAGTAAGTTCTGATCTGTCACTTTGACCTTAATCCCTCGGCACGCAGATCCCCCGATCAATGGCGAGGCAAACAATCTACATGTACTGTACAATAACTACCCATAGGCGGTAAAAAAACATTGAGGCCCACCAGAAATGTCTGAAAGATGTGGATGTGGGTCTAGGGAATTCCGGAATAAACAGACCGATCGACAATTACAGTTCAGATACAGTATTCCACGATTTTGACTGTTTCCACCTGTGCCACAGACAAAAATTTGAGTCTCCCCATATTATCCCCACCCTCTAGCCCTCTAGCCACTACATGCAGCCTATGGGGGAGCAGCATCGCGCTCCCCGAGATGACGGAAATGCTCGATCCAAACCCCACTGAGGCGGTGCTAATCTATTCATCCGAGTATCCGAAATTGACGATGTTGGTGACACGCCTTGGAGCATCGGGCAAGTCGGGCGCTCCGGCGCGCCTTTAGGAGTGGACTGAATCTCCACATCGCTTACTTCCGTGAGCACGGCACAGGGTGAAGCTAGTCCGCTGGTCCGCTGATAATTGTCATTGTCGTCCTGAGCGTTGTGCATTACGATGGTTGCACAAATGTACGCATTCTCCTTGGTGATCTGCTTGGAGTTTACATGTACGCACTGTGACTGTGATTGTGACACGACCCCCGTGGCAGATCAAGGAACTGCTCATGATTAGGTTCCATAGTTGGCGATCCTATGCAGGTATCTGTGTGGCAGGTGCATTCGGGGTGCTGCGGGGCCTAGCGCTTTCCTTGGTTATTCTGTCTGGGTATTTGATCAGGCACTCCTATTACATGCTGGGGATTGATGGTGGCGTACATTCAACGAGTTGGTACATACATGACTACCATGCTTATGTAGAGTGCAAGGCGTTATGATTGATTTGCTGGGGATCTTCCACGCTTGAGCTCGGTTCGCTGCTTATGTCTGATCGCCAGTCTCGGTACAGGCATCGCCCATGTTACATGGACGTATGGTATTCGAGTTGGATATTGAGCTGGGTTGACGGCGTGTGAGTATGCACTCATGGCATCGCGACCGTGGATATTCGAGTTGTAGCTTAGCTGCTGTGTTAAGTATGCAACGTGTGCAGTCTCAACCTCTGGGAGTGTTATCCACCCTGCCAAAATAGGAAACCGTCCCCTAGAGCATGCTATACAATGGCAAGTACATGGTCCAGAAAACATCCAGGCAAATCTAAAGATCTACAACCCTCGTACTCTTCAAGCAACCGGGATATATCATGAAACACCACGCCTGAAAACATCAGGGAATGACCATGCTGCGAGTAAGTCCAGTGCATGCAGAATCAGAAACAAAAGGAGCGTCGCAAATTCTCCGCAGTCCCGTAAACAAAACAAAATGTATGTCTGCAATTGTCAACATAACCAACACGAGCCTTCTATTTAGTCGCGGCCTGCGATCAGACTTTCGCCTACAACCTGGTTCTTGGGATTGATGCTGTGTAACTGGCACCCAAGGCGGAGCAGGATCAGATTGAGAGCGATCAAAGCCCATTGGAAATTGAGAAAGGAAACACAAACAGAACCAAAAGTACAGAAGAATAGGGCGGATGGACAACTGCCTCGTCTAATACGACCTCTTCGGATCCTTTCCTCCTTTGTCAGTGTGCACCATGTACGACTTTCCCAAAACCCCCCAAGCAAGGCGTCCAGCAAGACATAGTCAACAGGTCAAGCATTATACGAACCCGCACAACACCATGAAACCAACCCCAAGGCCACAAAAAAACCAAAGAATTAACCAAAACCCCGAAATCACATCGGAAACATAAGTCGAAACAAGGACGTAGCACAAACGCCCCTCGAGTAAGCTGCAAGATATCCGCAGGTAAGCGAAATCCAAGAGGCCAAGACGAACCAAAGTCTGACGCGCCCATCTCACACCTCTCACACCCATGAAGCAACGTCCAAACCTAAGCTTACCGTCACCCCATTTGGAAGCTTACCTTCCTGATCGGTCGATGTTAACCGAACGGCGAACACCAAACACGAAGTGTTCTCCGACACGCGACACGCGGGGTTACTCAGGATTCGGCTTGGCTTGCTTTGGTGGTGATACCCGAGGGACGCCGAGCGGGATTGGAGGATGGGGGGAGGATGGGATACAGGTTGCACTTGGAAATACAGATACAGTGGTAAATGGCGATCAGTTATATACTTGGGTTTCGGGTTGGTTTGTTATGTTGTGCTTCGGGTCGTAAATCGCTTAAGCTCACCCTGGTGGTTGATGCTGGATATATATCCATCCACGTGTACCACGACCGATCTAGATCAAGATGGACTAATATGTCCAGAACGTGGATGAACAGTTTAGTCCATCACTTGTTTTGTTCTTGATGCTCTGTGCGACATCTTTCTTTATGCGTGAGTTGCTAGTCTACTGTAGAATCATCCAGTCCAGGCCAGTCCAGATCAGATCAGTTCAGTGCGACGTTAAGTCACTACCATTTCCATCTCCTAGATACTAATCGCAAAGTAGACCGGCCAGTCTAGTCCAGCCTAGTCTGAAGCAGTCGTAGTTTCTGTTCTCTCGAATCTCTCCATTTCTGTTCTGGTCATCTTATGTCACTCTTTGATCGGTGTAACGTTATTGAGCAGTTGACCGGCTTAAATTGTTCACTGATATGTCATCAAGCATCTTGCTTTCCTAAACATTGCCTAACTTTAGTTGATATTCGACTTTTCGAATTTGTACTATCTACGTACTAACTGGCCTTGACGGTCTGCATTAAATGTGATGGATGATATAGCAGTCAGTAGGGTGAGCGCCAACTACACTCAAAGGTTTGATAATTACCTAGACAATCTATACTACACTTGATCAACCATCTAGATAGCGAGCCCATCTGATGAGTCCCGATTTCCACGACTGAGATGAATTGGCTTAACTCCAAATGTATAGCTTAACCGTTCTATAGACGACCGCCTACAAACCAGACGACTTACCAAAGCTCCATCCCTGCGTTTACAACAAAGATAGTCATTATAATCCATTCAAGATTATTGTTACATGTACATACAAACAGCCCATAAACCATGAGTTAATCCACCAACCTTCCCATCCCACCTGCCTACATGCACACACACAGGTACATTCATCCCGAAAACAGCAGGAACATCCCTCATTAGAGACAGGGAAAAGCGGAGCCTCGTTTTTCAAGGCGGAGGGTGTTGCACGACATGGGGAGGGAAAGGAATGGAATTGATCTGGAGATTTGGCTAGGTGGGTTTGGAAGTTGGGGATTTGGGGTCCTTTGCTTTGGGTTTGTGCGGTGATCGCGTGATAGTCTTTTAGTATAACTCTGGAATTTGGTGCTTGATTTGACGGGATTTGGTCTGAGAAAAAGGCCGGGGGAGGGTTGTGGAAGGAGTAAACAATTTGCCTGTTTGGGAATTGGATGGGGTCGGATTCGATTGACTGCTTTTCTTAATTATGAGTGGAGCAGAAGCTGTTTCAAAGGAAGTCCCATTATAGCATTGGGTATCGAAGAAAGGATAAGTATATACAGATATGAGTAAATAAAGATAGAACATAAGTCAACGTTGATAGCCACTGTCCCCGAAACCGAAACCTAAACCGAAACAATCATCCCAATCAAGAGATGGCAGTCTGGTCCTTATAAAGATCACAAGCATGTGGATGCTGCAAACAATACTTGGGCACGAGCGCATTAGCCATAACACCATTAGCAACCAGATACTCGCGGAAATTAAGCAAGCGCTGAGTAAGGTTAGTAGTGCGCTTATGACCAGCGGCATCACGATTGCCCGACCAAACCCGTTCACCAAGGGCAGCCGCACGCGGCCAGAACTGGCTGGAGATGCTGATATCATCGACCTGCTCAGACCAGAGAGGTGCCTCGGCGCCGAGGATGTGAGACGCCTGCGCGTCTGTGAGGTTGTAGGTGAAGTCGTAGTCGTAGATACGTTGCCAGGTTTTGTAGGGCCCGCACCAGGATCCGCCGTTTCCGCCGTAGTTGAAGTTGACGCCGCCGTCGGGATTGGAGTTTTGGTTGTAGCGGGGGTCGTTAGTGACGAAGCCGCCGTGGCCGCAATCTAGGTAGAGGAAGTCGGAGGAGGAGACGACGACGTCGTAGCCGGCCGTTGTTAGTTTGTTGATGTTGTCTAGACCGTTGTTCCAGGTTTGCATGACGATGTCCTTGGGGACATCGTGGGCGTTTTCGGCTGAGAGGACGATGTCCTCCCACATCATTACCCGGCGGTGGCCGCCGACGCTGCGGAAGATGGGTACCGCGCGGTCGACCCAGTATTGGACTAGGTCATGGTATGTGCGCGATGGGTCCTCGGCGAACCATTCGGTAACATGCGTGCTGAAGTTGTAGCAGTTGGGCTGGAGCTCGTCGGCGCCGACGTGGAACCAGTTGTCGGCGAAGATAGCGGACAGATCGTGGTAGACGTTGTTGACGACCTCGTAGGTCTTGTTATAGATGATATCCAGTTGACCCGGGTTTGGCTCGACCGCGGTATGGTATTCCCACACGTCATTGGACCACCAAGAGTTGGCACACGCCACAATCTCCGGGTCGACCTGTTGCCAGCCTGAGGCCGAGTGGCCGGGCATGTCGACTTCAGGGATCACGCGAACACCACGGGCACGGGCATAGGCAATGACGCGGCGCATGTCGGCCTCGGTGTAGATCTCGCGGGGAGAGTAGGCGTCCTTGGTCATCTCTGGGTAGGAGCGCATCTGCATCGGCCAGGACTGGGAGTCGTCCAGGTGCCAGTGCAGGACGTTGAGCTTGGAAAGAGCCATGCCATCGATTTGTTCGAGGATCTTGCTCACCGAGATAAAGTTGCGACCGGTGTCGACCATGATGCCGCGGTAGGGGTACAGCGGCGCATCCTGGATCTTGACAGGCTGCTCAATGATCAAGCCGCCTTTTCCATCGGAGATGATGATCTGCTGCAATGTTGTGAACGCGTGCAACGCACCCCAGACGGTCTGGGAGGTGATCTTGATGCTGCTGGAGCCCTTGGACACTTCGAGTGTGTATGATTCATCCACGCCGTGCTGCAGATCGGCCTTGCTGTCCTTGATCTGCACCTCAACGTAGTGGATCCCTCCGGTCGCGCGCTTGGTCTTGGACTCGGGGGTTTGGGTCGGGAAGGGCGGATAGTCGGAGATAGGAGCTTCCACGGCGGCGGGGACCCATTGCAGGGTGGTGATGGAGTTCCATGCTCGCAACCAGGCACTGGTTACCACCGGGCTGGTGTGGCGATCGCGTAGAGACAATTGTTGCACTTGGATCGGACCGGACGAACCCCAAGTGATGTTGCGGGGGGCGGGAAGTGGGTTCACCTGGACGGCAGACACGACCGTCAAGGCCCCGAGGACACTCAGGACGGAGGCGAACTTCATCGTGAGGAGGTGAGTAATGGCAAGGAATAGAAGCACCGAACAGAAGAGAAACGCTCGACTATTTAAGTGTAGCATGCCGATAGCATGCCGATCCCTTCAATGCAACTGTGGAGATGAAGATAGACAAACAAACCCCTTGTTTCAGCAGCTCATGTTACATTTGACTAACTACACCTGTACTAACTACACTAGCTACAATAGCCACACGAATTACACTATACTAATAGATAACTACGACCTCCACATGCGACTCTGAGCTTCGCTTTGAGGCCACGAGGACACATTAAAGAGGGGTGAGCTATCTACAATGGTACAGTGACATGGGATCTCTACAACTACAACTACACACATACACAAATTAAAGTGAACCTCGTGTATCATTTCAAGTATAGTATAGTATAGTTAAGATTGTTCCAATGATTTCTCCAACTCCATCCCCTCACGGAACTCCTCGTGAATGGCCGCGGCCGCCTTCACATCGGGGACAACACAAGGCCGCCGAGGAAGACCCCCATAGCCACGATAAGACTGCAGACCAGTCTTGACAGCAATGAAGCCACCATGAATAGCAGCCCAATCAGCACGAGCAACAACAGCCTGCACCTTCTGCGCCTCCTGAACCTTTCCACTGCGATAGAGCTCCATAACCCGCACGCAAGATCTAGGAATCATATTGGCAACACCGCCAATGATACCAGCACCACCGGCAATCAAAGTCTGGAGGGTAAAGTCGGCCGATCCACCAAAGGTAAGGAAATCAGGCTTCGCAGCAGCAATACGGGCAAGTTTGCCCGTGTTACCACAAGTCAGCTTGCACCCAATGATATTAGGATGCGCCGACAAAGCGAGGATATCATCAGAGCTAAGATCCAGCCCCGATGACGCCCCGGGGAAATTGTAGATGAGCACCGGGACCGGCGAGGCATCAGCCACCGCCTGGAAATGTGCATGCATGGACTCGCTGCTCACGAGCGCCTTGTAGTAGCTGGGCGGGAGCACCAGGACCGCATCGGCACCTGCTTCGCCGGAGTCTTTGCAGAACTGGATGGTCTCGCGCGTGGAAGGGGCACCACAGCCGGCGATCACTGGCATGCTGCTGTACCCCGCTGCATCGACGGCGCGCCGTGTGGCTGCTGTGATGGCTTTGCGTTCGTCACGGTCCAGGTGGACGGCTTCGCCGTTGCTTCCTTGGGTTACTAGGCCTGTTACGCCACTGCGCGCGAGATAGGCAGCGTGCTTTTCGACGGTTGCGATGTCGACTTCTTCGTCTGGCTTGAAGAAGGCCACGGTGGGGACGTAGACACCGTGGGGGAGGGGATTGCGTTTGGTTGTGCCGTTGGCTGTCATATTGGGTGGTTTGGTATGTGATCTGGGGAGTATTGGAGAGTGTCCCTGCTTCTTATACCAAGTCCGAAGAGAAATGGGCAGATCTTCATTCGCCGTCGGACCAGCTAAACAAACCCCCACGTTCACCCCACAGTGCCCGGGTTTATGTCAACGTGGGAGTGAAGCAGTGCCTGCAATTGCAATTGACCAAGGATTTCCCCCACGGTCATGCGGGGTTGCGGAAGTTGTATACTTTCATTGTTCCACTGTGTAGAAGTATACATCTTGTGTTCGGAGATCTGTGTTACTCTTGATCTCTACCTACTTCGGCTACTCAGTTTCACTCTTTTAGCATAGTATAAGTTAAGAGAAACAGACTATTCACAGGTAATCTGACCTGCATGTATGGGAATCCATGGTCCCCCACACTTGACTGTCGTGGGGGTGAATTGCTTTTCCGAATGCTAATACCACATTGGCAGAATTGGAGTAATTGAGGCGATTGAGGTAATGGAGGCAAATGTCGTATAGATTATGAAGTGTATGAAACACTGTCTCTACTACAGTTCAATAAGAATGAATGCAATGTATACAATATACAATCCCCAATACAACAATCAAATGACAGAATCACAATAAAACTCCCAATAAAAACCGCAATAAAAACACAAATAGTCGTGATAGAATCAAAAACAATATCTCCATCCCCATCGCCGCCGACATATAAATCCATCCCGCCAAGAACTTTCCATCTCATCCCCCCTCGAACCCCTACCACACCATGACCGACTAAACAACCTCCACCCACCGAACAATGGCCCTCCTGTCACGGCCCTCCCTCCGCTCTGTGCGACGGGAAGAACCTGACGGAAAAAAACATCGCCTCAACCGCCGCCGCAGCTCTCCCGACTGCCTCGACACGACAACCCCAGAGACCAAACCGCGCCCGAATCTACCCTTGAAAGTCGCGCGCCCGCGGACTTCGACTCGCCGCGACTCCTCCGCGTCCGTTGATACGGTCGCCTCCGCGCAATTGGCGACGCCGGCTGCTCGCGCCAATGGGAATGGCAGGACCCGCGCCCGTGACCCCAACACACCTTCGATCGCGACCGGCTTATTGTCTGCTCGTGAGTCGCCAGATCCGTTGGATACTATTTCGCCCGCCCCTGCGTCTGTCGCGGTTAAGCAGCGACCTGTCACGCCCGCTGTGACTGTGAAGTCGGATGTTAAGGCTGCTGTTTCGCCCGTGGCTCGTGCGACTCGTCGATTTGATACTCGCGTGTTGAGTGAGGAGCAGAAAACGGTCAACGGTGGTGGGGGTGGCGATGGCGTGGCTGGGTTGAGGTCGACGCGAAATCGCAAGAGCGATTTGGGCGACGGCGAGCAGCCTGAGGTGGACGAGAAGCAGGCTGGACGGCGGTCGTTGCGCTCGACTGATACCGGGTCACGGTGTAAGAGCGAGCTTGCGCAGTACTTTCATAGCTATGAACAGATTATCAGTTTGGAGGATCCTGAGCCAGGTAAGTTGGGTATGATCATGGGTGTATTGGGACACGACTGACTTGGATGTTTTACAGAATCTCTCAATGCCAAAACTACCATCGTACTCGTCGATGACCTCTCCCAACCTCTACCCTTCTCCTCGGAGCCTGACCCGACACCCTTCGGAAACCCTCTCCTCAACCTGTACGACTGCGAGAAGATCACACTCCACGAGCCGGCATCAAATCCAACCGCTGTCGACCCGCTGGGTGCAGAGACATACTTCCGCGCGCATCGCAAGTTCGAGCGTCAGGAGAAACAGTTACGAAATATTGAGCGAGACCGCGCACAGCATGAACAGCAGGTCCTGGAACGACTCCTCGACGAGCTCCGCGGTCACGACTGGTTACGAGTGATGGGATTGCCTGGGGTGCACGAAAACGAAAAGAAGCAGTACGAGCCAAAGCGAGATATTCTCATATCGGAGCTAGTCGCCCTGGTCAACAAATTCCAAGCCTGGAAAGACGAGGAACGACGCCGCAAGCTCGCCAAAGAGAAACCTCTCCCAACTATAGACAACGAGTCTGATGCTGCATCCCGCAACCAATCTCGCAAACGCTCCCGTCCTGCTGAGGATATGGACAGCTCTCCAGCACCAGGGGCAGACATGCAAAGCACACCAGATCCCAACGACGTGGACGCATTAGCAGCGCGCCAACTCCACCAAGAAGCGCGCTCTGCATCAGCCTCCAAACCACGCAAGCCGTCAACAACCTCCCGTAAATCCACCTCAAACACCAAAACCACCCATACAGGCGGTGACAGCCACAGCCGTGGAAATATCAATACCACCGAAACACCCATCTCCGCCCCCAAAACCAGCCCAAAAACAAAGAAAAAGACCGACCCAACTCCACCAAAAGCCCTCAGACAAATGCCTCTGTCCTTCTTCTACGAACCAGTCGTCCAAGATAAACCCTTCACCTCATTCTTCCGCCAAAAGCACGTCCGCGAAGCAGCCATCGCCGCAACAAAGGGTGACCGCCGCAGTGGCTCGCGCTCTTCTCTTGCTTTTGGCCATCCAGTTCCTGAGCAGGTTGAGCAGGAGTTCGAGCCGCCGGCTGAACTTCTTACTGAGGAGGCTATTACTGCTTCCCAGCGGAAGAGGCGGAGGCTTAAACGGCAGAGCCAGGGGTGAGTCGTTACTATTTTGAACCAAAAAAAGAGGACGTGTATTTCTGGATTTGTTATGATGGCATGGTGTTTATAGGTTTGCATGGATGGACATGGTTTTGCATCCTTTCTTTTCTGTTCTCTTTTACTTTTCACTGTTTCTGTACGATAGCATACTGGCGCTATGGTGGTGTTCTGTTTTACTTTTTCATTCTCATGCACTTTTTCATGGACTGGATGTCCCGGCGCGGGCGTCGATTGAATATGGGTTTCGTGGGCTGAGGCTCCCGGGTTGTATGTGTATATCTGAGGCTTAGGTAGTTAGGTCATTGCATTTTATATTGATCACAGAGATGTGGTTTATTCTTACTTTCTTTTTTTTTATCATTCTTCTATAAAGGTGTATCTGAAATATCACGTAGAAAGCAGGTATATCAAGTGAGAATTATCTGAAATGTATACCTGGCTGTCTATCCATTCTCATTCTGTCTTTGTATTTTCTGCCTCTGAAGAAAATACTGAGTCCCTGAGATTTGTGCTACCTTATTTCTTTCTTCAGTTGCGTCACTTTTCCACTTGGTATATATACCTACTTCTTCCTCTTCTTCCCTCTTCCTCTTTCTTTCTTCTTCACCCACTTCCACTCTCCATCTTTCCTTCTTCCACTCCTCTTCTTCCACTCCACTCAACCTATATATATATCTCGTTGCATATATCTCATTCCCTTCCACTACCATTTCATTCTGCTTCCCTCTTCGGTGTTTCGCACATGCCTGCTCAGCGTTCCATTGTCAGCTCATTTCAAATGTGTGCGAGCCGCCGTGCAATGTTTCCACTTGAGGATATCGCTATTAAAGTCAAGACTGAGTCTCATAACTGCATCCCTGTGGCATTTCCGAGGACATGAAAGGAAGAGTGAGTGGACATACAATGACCCTTGACGAGGTGCCGCCATGCGTCCGTGACCTGGTACATCCCGAATTGATCCCGGACCTTGTTTTTCTGTCTGTTCAATCGATCATGAACAGAATTCTGCTGTTGAGGCACTCTTTCCGATTCGTTCTGTGCGTGGACAACCACGGAAAACATGACGAGTCTGGCAATCTCACAATCCATGTCAAAACAAGGAATGAGTTCCTCACGGTCAGATGTGCCACGTGAATTGGGCAAATCTGTTCAGATTCGACATGATTGAATGGTCCACCACACCGGGAATGCACTTAAAGAATTTGGTCTTCTTTGAAGATACAGGGACAGATAACGATCAGTTTGTATCCAGTCGACGAGGTCGACTCTGGGAGATCAATGTGCCCTTTTTTGCCAATCAGGCTGCGACAGAAGATATACGTCTTCCGCGAGAATTCCATTGAATTGAAGGAGGAGGAGAACTACGAAACCATTTGCATACAGGAACTGTGTCCATGGCGGCCCGATAAAGAGGGATCTGTGTGCGCCTCCACCTCCTCCTCTGCAAGGAGACTGCCGCTCTGCACTCTGATGATAACCTATGGAACGAAGCGAAGTAAGACCTCTCCAATCAGCAATATTCAAGTGCTGGCATAAATGGAAAAGATATAGGCGAACAGAAAGCGGAAAGGATTAATTGATTTGTCAATCTGGCTTGCGTTGCTTGATAGCCCGAAGGAATCACGCATTCGCCGAAAAGAACCGATTACAGAAATCCGGTCCATCACAAGGTGGCACCTAGGGACTACGAAACATGCTGGTTACTCGTTTTCACATGGCATACGCGAAAGCGGGAGTGAATCAACCGACTACCTGGGAAGCATGTCGTCCACGAGCTCAGCGAGATATCAGTGATATTAAGTCACTGTAACCAACAGTGACATTCACGCCTCGCATTGTTTGCTCTGATTTGCTGTGGGCTTATTTGCTCCTTCCATGCTTTTTTTTCTCTCTCGCAAGGATCCTTGTGAAATCTGGGGGAAGTGAACCGGCTTGGACTTCCTGGGACGAAGGAGCAAAGCGTGACGTCGACTTAATTCTCCACAAGCACACATTGACATGCAAGCCTACAAATCTAAATCGCATTGATTCATCTCGCCACAGTACGCCAATACCCTACACAAGGCTACAGAAGGACAACACTTTCATTGATGACATCGCGAAGATCCTGGACGAGTTGGATGAAGGCTGCGGTGGTGAATTTGAGGACCCTGACTATGAAGCCTCTACTACCTGGAAGCTCCAGCCACCAATTATTGCCCGCAACCTTCGACATGGCACAATCGAGGACGCCGTAGACTTCCTTGACGCCTACGACAGCCTACAGGATGTCACCAGAAAGACAGCGTGAGTCAGCAGTTGCCACGAATCCTTGCTACGAAAGCCGACGGCATTATTTGGCCGCCACACAACCAGATCGCGTCAGTTCATGCTCACCGCGCACGCAGCGACATCGTACAGCTAGGGTTTCGATCGTTTTGATGGGGCACATCACCATTCGAATGTCAAGACATCAAGAGTCTTAGTTTGATACGCTGTCGATGACCATGTTTATTATTAGCGATCCTGAATCATTGAGTGAGTTTGCCTATATGTCTCAAACGCACCACCACCACGGCCATTGTTTCCTGCGTCAACGTTTTCTCCAGGTTTCGCAATTCCCCTTGCGAAATATCGAAAGACGAGAAAGGGTGTGACGAGCGGAGGTCAGAGCAGGCAGGAAGCCAATCATATAGCTAGCCAGCTCTTAGTTGAATAGGATCTATCTTCCTCTTCCCCTTTGCTCTCACAAAGGCCCTCGCAAATTGGTCTTCATGACTTCAAAGCTATCATACTTCCGTGCTTACCAAATTTCCCTTTTACTTGTTCGGAGTTCCATTGAATCTGCTACATGTAATGAGAAGCTGCTAATATATGACTTGTGGGTTTGCAACTGCGAAGCTATTTGGCTGGCCAGGTTGACAGGCAGCGGTACGATGCCATGTGGGTGGCCGTGTTTCTTGGGTCATGACATACAGTTCATAGCTGCAATGCCAACCAAAAAAAGTACTTAACCAGAATCCAAAAAATAGCATATATGACTCATGCACCAGCAACAAAAACGGCCACCGGAGCCAGCCATGCAGCTCCGATCGACGTCCGACGCCTCTTGCAATTTAGTGCGGCAAAAGACAGTCAAGACCAGCCGAAAAGTCACAGCTCGAAATCAGGCTAAACTGGCTAGACTAAGCTTAAAAAAATCTCAGCCCTAAATCCGCAGGGATCAGCGGAACCCGCTGAGAGAATTTTCCATCGACCTTCCATCAAATATGATCACGAATTGATTTGAAGCCTATATAGAAAACATAATATAGCAGACCGACATCGGAGAGAAGTTTTCCATTTTCCCCAGTTTTCAACGACATTTGAAGCATCAGACCCAGTAAACTAAGGCTTTTCCGTAAATTTCTATTACGTCGCGCCGTAGTGATTCGTTGCGACGGTCCGCGTCTCGGCGCTCCACTTCCGCTTTTGGTGGCGGTTTCTTATTCTTCAAGAGCTTTGCAATTTGATTTTGATTTTGAGATTTTCATACTGTTTTTCTGTTATATCTTTCTGCTCTTGCCGATCTTTGTTTGTTTTGTCTTTCGTTTTGCTTGGATCTGGTCGCGAGATCTATACGGCGTGTCTGCTACTTTCGATATCGGCTTTACTATGAGCTCATCTGCTGATTTGGAGATTGGCTCGAGGGAGAAGAGCTTGGATCTCAATCAGGCAGATTCGGATGCGGATCTCCAAAAGCCTGATGATGTACCGCAGTACAAGCAAGATGCTTTTGGTGATGAGGAGTTCGCCGAGGTGAAGTACAAGGTCCTAAAATGGTGGTATGTCTGCATAGCTTCGATTTTGTGATAGCTCTGTGACTAACTTAATTTATCTAGGCAATGCGGTCTGCGTATGTGATGATACATCATTTCCCGAGTTGAATCCGAGTCTAACATTTACCAGTCATGGTCGCCGAAACCGTCTCCCTGGGTGTTCTATCGCTGCCTGCTGCTGTCGCAGGCCTTGGATTTGTTCCGTATGCTTGTCCTCACTTCAAGATCGGACGAAAATAATCGAAACTAACATCATTAACAGTGCGATTATTATTCTTGTCTTCCTCGGCTCGTTGGCCACATATACCGGATACGTGATCGGACAAATGAAATGGAAATATCCTCACATCTCGACAATGGCCGATGCAGGCGAAGTCCTGGCAGGAAAATGGGGTCGTGAAATTCTCGGTGTCGCGCAAACCATCTTCCTAGTCTTCGTCATGGCTAGCCATCTGTTGACCTTCACTGTGGCTATGAACACCATCACCAACCACGGCACCTGCTCAATCGTCTTCGGCATCGTGGGCATGATCGTATCATTCATCTGCTCTCTGCCCCGAACCCTGGTGAAGATGTCATGGCTATCCCTAGTTTGTATGTATATTCTGTCCCTCCCGTATTTGAGGTATGAACTAACAACCTCCAGCGTTCGGAAGTATCATGACCGCAGTTCTGATTGTCATGATCGGCGTCGGAATCGAGAAACCCGGCGGCCGCATCGAAGTTGCCGTCGAAACAAACCTCTACCTCGGCTTCTCGGCTGTCTGTAACATCGTCTTCGCTTTCTGCGGTCACGCAGCTTTCTTCGGCCTGATGGCCGAGCTGAAGAACCCGCGCGACTTCACCAAGTCCCTGTGTCTGCTGCAGGGTATCGACATGGCACTCTACATCATGGCCGCTGTAGTCATCTACCGCTATGCCGGCGCCGATGTTACCTCGCCTGCTCTGGGATCTGCCGCACCTGTCGTCGCTAAGGTTGCGTATGGCATTGCCTTGCCAACTGTAGGTTCACCACTACACTAATATGTATGGATTGAATGCTAATTTTGTCCTTAGATTGTCATCGCTGGTGTTATCAACGGCCACGTCGCATTCAAGTACGTCTACACACGCATCTTCCGTGGTACGGACCGTATGCACAAGCGTGATGCCGTCGCCGTTGGCTCTTGGATTGGCATTTCTCTTTCGCTGTGGATTTTGGCCTGGATTATCTCTACTGCCATCCCAGTTTTCAGCAGCCTACTCAGTCTGATCGTATGATATACCCCATTCTCGATGTCAATATTGCTCAAATATCTAACTTCCTACTCCAGACTGCCCTCTTTGCCAGTTGGTTCACCTACGGCCTGAGCGGGATTTTCTGGCTATTCATGAACAAGGGGCTCTGGTTCTCCTCGCCACGAAAGATCGCTCTCACAGCATTGAATGTCTTCGTCATTGCCGTCGGTGCAGCTATTGTACGTCGCATCTTTACATTGATCTGTTATTGTTTCATTACTAACATGTATATAGTGTGGCCTCGGCCTCTACGTCTCTGGCAAAGCAATCCACGACAACCCCAGCAGCGCAAGCTTCTCCTGCGCTAATAATGCTTAACTCGACATAAAAGATCATCGCTAATTTTGCTTGGCTTGCATCAAATGGGTTATAGATGAGGTGTTCACGGCGTTACAATCTTGCATTTTGGGGCATTTACATTCATCTTTTTGTGGCGGATACGGCGCTCGTTGGGAGCTGTCGTTTGCTAACTTATGGCTTATCGGCCTTGTATACCTACTACTGCTATTTTGCATATCATACTGCCGCGCAGATGACTTTATATAGACTTGTACAAACATATATGCATTGGCTATCAATTGAATATCAAACCATTGTATCCTTCAATCTTTATTAACTGGAACGTTTTGTCTTCTTCGGCATGCAACATCAACAGCCGATCATCCAGCGGGGGAGAGCACTTAGCAAGGGCCCATGCACATATCTCCAACTCGCAACCTGAAACCCGCGACAATTTCCCGAAGACCTTGTTCCCGCGCTCTTTGACACACTTAACGCGCCTGTTGTACGAATCACCGCCCCACGTGGGAGCAGACTTGTCGGGTCAAGCCGCACTCATATCCCGCCAGACGGGATGGTATGCGAGGCACAACCGCGGCGATGTATAAAGTAGAGAGTTGAGATGCCAGAAATCCCATGTATCCAGGAATTCTACCTGTTCAGGTTATTTACAGCCACAAAAATGGGTCTTAGCACCAAAAATGCCCTGCGGTTCTCGCTCTTATGTCTCTTCGCTTCGGCAACGGCGACAAACACACGCAAACCTGTTCAATTAAGTCTTTCTGGGCATATTGACCAGTCTGAAGTGTACTCATTCGTATATGTCCCATTCGAAGTGGAAGAGGGAGTTACCTCCATCAGCGTGCTGCAAGACTACGCGCTGAAGGGAAATGGCAGTTCGCTCGATCTAGGTCTATTCGACCAACGCGGCATCGAGGTTCCCAACTCATTTGGTCAATTCGGGACGAGGGGATGGTCAGGTGGGAAACGGTGAGTGCTACCATGATTCAAGTCGTATTGTTTGAGTGTATCAGCAGAAGTCAGTGAGCTGACATCCATGATACCACCCAGAAACAACTTCACGATCACGCCTGCATGGGCAACACCCGGCTACAACCCGGGTCCCATTAGCCCAGGAATTTGGAATGTAGTTTTTGGTCCCTACGAGTCCACTGCAAAGGGTATAGACTGGACACTCGAGATCTCACTGGGATTTGACCCAGTTAACGCAACATTCACACCGACATACGCGCCCACGAACATGGACCCGATTTGCAACGGTTGTACCGAAGCAGAGGAGTTTACCTGGCAGCGCGGCGACTTCCACATGCACACCATCTACTCCGATGGAAAATATACACCCGAACAACAATTCGCAATCGGCCAATCTCGGGACCTGTCCTTCGTCTTCCTAAGCGACCACAACACAGACACGAGCAACCAAATTGCTGGCTCAGCCCAGGCTGCATATGCACCGGAATTACTAGTCGGTCGTGCGATCGAAGTCACGACCCGGTACGGACATTGGCAGGCTGTGGGTATAGACAGGGAGCAAGTCATCGACTGGCGATATAAACCGGGCGACAAGCCTGGATTTGCCGAAGCAGCTGAGCAGGTCCGTCGTGCTGGTGGATTCGTGTCTGTCAACCATCCGTTCGCGGAGTGTCCCGCTTGCAATTGGAGTCTTGGGTGGGAGAGTAATGATGCTGTGGAGGTTTGGAATGGGCCTTGGGATTCGACAGATGAGCAGGCTGTGCAGCTGTGGCAGAAGATGCTTGTTGAAGGGAAGAGGATTACTGCTATTGGTGGTAGTGATTCTCATTCGCCGCCGTCCGTTAATGGGTTGCCGACTTCTGTTGTTAAGGGGCGAGGACGGAGTCAGGCGGCTATTGTTGAGGGTGTCAAGGCTGGGAGGGTTTATTTGGCACAGGGGCCTGGTATGGATATTGCTTTTGAGGTGGTTTCGAAGTCCTTGGTGGCTCCGGCTCAGATTGGGGATAGGCTGAGCGCTGAGACGAAGGATGCTCGCTTTTCTGCTGAAGGGTTAGCTGGGCAGCGTATGTGTCTGATCTCCGATCAAGGGTACTTTTACAATGCGTCAATCGTGGATCACAAGGAGATTCAGCACGCAGTTCCTTCAGGGGCTAAGTTCATCAGAGCGGAGGTGAGGAACTCGACTAGTGATGAGGTGTTGGCTCTAACCAACCCTGTGTGGTTCTTATGAGAGATCAAAAAGAGGACGAAAAGAGCGGCAATAGACACGGCAGTCAGCTTGTAGGAAGCCAGTAGGCTCAGGTTAACCTTAGAAAGCTCTGATAGGAGAATCAATGTTTCATTCAATCATAGTCATCGTCAATCGGATAAGCCGAGATTTGTCTGACATATCAATGTTTGTAACAAGAATGCATTTTGATTGTAGATCAGCTTTGTTTGACTTTCGCCTTGGACGAGCGGTTCTCATGATCTGCCCGCTTTGATCAATGATCGATGTCGAATTGGCATTCATTCCTGTTGAACATGGCAGCCGGAGCCTTCGGATTCATGTGTGGGCCTTGAGATGACACTGGTGCAATTTTCTTCACTGGTGTTATTGGCTCTAAGAACTGTATTCACTTATTCCATGTGAGCAATCAGCCCTATAGGAAACCTGCTAAGTGTAGGTGGATAGAACCTTGAGGCAGAGTTCAACCTTGGTGCAGGGATCCCAGTGCGTACCGAAGAGTCGGGCAAATGAATGTGGAGGGAAATCTGATAAGCAGACAGTCAGTATCTTAGCTAAACATGCGTGCATATCATTCACAAGGATTATGAAGCTTTTCAGAGAGAAGATTAAAGTCGTCAATGCCTCACACATCCGCAGATGGCATGGCTTTCCGGCTAAGGATGACTATACAATGAATTTCATCATGGTAAAGAGGGGGAAGGTATTGTGTTGAAATATATGGGACTCACCGTCGGTTTTCTGTCCTTTCAGGGGTAGCGGGTGGGTGTTTGTGCATTAGCTCAAAGATTTGGACAGCCTCATCCTGTGGACTCGGGGTGATTTTCAGGCATCGTCGTATGATTTGAATCATTCAGTCATCGTAAGAAATGATTCTGCGGCCATGATATTTCACACGCGAATCTGCTGGCTTCTTCGCCGGAAGTCGGTCAGAGCTCTCATCGCCGTAATCCAGAGGCTCAGAGGCCATGTCCTCAGCGACGCGTTTTTTAAAACCCCCTTGTTCCCGTGACAGCGCGTGGGTATCATCGCCCTGAGGAGCAGGCTTTGTATCTTGGGTTGGTTTCTTCGCCGCCGGTGGCTTATCCTCCGAGGATGTCATGCGAGCCTCGTACTCTGCATCGTCTGCCTGCAGCTGCCTCTGTCGCAGCAGCGCATGGATCTCGCTGTGTCTGAATATGCGGATTTGCTCATCGGTGAGCGTGCGCTTTACTCCGTCGGGGTAGTATCCGAGGTCTTCGTCTGCGAACTCGTCCTCTGCGAGCTGGTCATTTTGTTGTGGGAGGGTGGGCTGTGGCTGGCCTGGGAAGTGCTTGGAGTGGAAGGCTTGGAGATCATCCTAATAGGAAACATGTGAGTAGAACGTGAGGTTATTAAGGTCTTAAGAGACTCACCAGAGTTACATTTGGTACCTGCATGATGCTCTGGTGTTGACGCGAAAGATGGAAGACGCGGTCGCGTGAGGATGCTTACGGTAATACAGTCCGCAACTTACGGTTCACCTGTGTACAGTAGATCGAACTAGAGAGATGTGGCTTCCAACCCCCAATCAATAATGTACAGAGTCTTTGTTTGAATGGTCATTGATTACTTGAATGATTTGAAAATATGGGGTATCTTGTGTTGATAACTTTTTGAAGTCATCTTCGTGTTGTCTGGTTCAAAACGCCTCTATTGATTGATGCACGAGGGATACTCGAATTTTCGATGCACAGCTTAGAACTCCTTTTCTAATGGGATACTAACCACGTTATTTCCCATCTTAGCCTTGACACTATCAAACGCGATCCTTCTTTCTCGCAACGCTCGCAAGTCTATACCGGCGACCAACTCGCGGTCTTTCGCGCTAGGCCTGGACAGACTCCAAGCAAGTGAGATATGGAAACAGTTTGAATAGTCTCCTAATAGTGTAGAACCTTTGTCTCCACGCGGCAAGGCGCGATTTTGACTATTCTTATGCGAGGAGGCCGCGTAGAGAGGCGGTTGGCCAAAGCGAGCAAGGGCGGTATTTGATAGATTCAGCAGGCCATTCAGACCATCATTTGCTGGTTTCTGAACACGCAGGACAAGAAACCACCGTGTTTCGTCATAGTTAGATGCCCAGTCCAGAGTATCGGGTAGTATTTCAAACCTAGGCAGTATTAACAACAGACAATAAGGGGATCCGGGGTTTGCTTGAAGTCCAGAACATACGGTGAGATATGCGAGTCATGGATAGCTTTCTGCAGCAACTCAGTAAACGGTGCACGTTGCTCAGTGCGAAGGACCACCGGCCGAGACAGGCTAATGTGAAGCGGCAGCTGAGCACCGAGATCACTATGCAACAAACTATGAACGCTGGGCGCGTTCTGATCCAGTGACGTCTCAGCATGGGCGATAAGTTCTGTAAGGAGCGACAGATCCTCTTTTGCAGGGTACCCTATCAAAAATTAGCTGCTGACTCTAAGTGAAACATTGCGAGGGACTGTAACGCACATTCGAGGTACAGATGTGTCGGCCAGTTGCCTTCTACATGCGGGATCGCGCGTTTTCGACCGCCATGAAGACTGGGGTCATCTTGCACGCTTACGCGTGTGCTGGAAGCATAGAGGTCGTGGAACGCTGCAGGCAGGGGCGGCAGCGATGACCCTGGTTTCGGGTCATGGCGAGGTTTCTTGCATGGGGGCAATTCTCTGGACTCCGACTCTGGCTCTGAATCGGAATATTGTACCAGTGACATCTGGCTGTATGTATTGAGGTGTTTTGTGTGGTCTGTTTTGTGCGGAGAACTTTGATGTGGGCACCCTATCACAGTCAATTTTTATTAAGCCTCAACATGGATTTTTGTCTCTGCAATATATTATACCTTTATTTTCAACAAAACTAATGTTTCCTTTGCCATCCGTAGTCACTGTGGTCTTGTCTCCTCTCTCCGACTATACTGTGCGACAGCGCCTCTATGACCTGGGAGACAGAGCCTAGAAGTGTACGCCGCAAGGATTGGGCTGCCCAGCTGATACGAATTCTATTGAAATACCCTCTGTTATTTCATAGAATAATGCTACGTAGCCATGATCTGAATGATACCTACACAGCTTAAGGCCCCTGTTCATGGGATGACGTTGCTTCGTGCGAGCTCAGCCCGCTAGCGTACTCAGAGCCAGACCGATTTTCCCTACATAGTAAAATGTGCGCAGAGGTAGTAGAAGGCATTTTGAGTCTCCTGAATCTCTGATGTTTTTATCTTGAAGCTATTCCGCCAATGAAATCTCAAGAATGACGAGCAACTATAGACGTTTGATATGCATCGCAGACTTGTCGGGTCAACAACACCTTTCCTTATCCCCGCTTTCAATCTCCATATTGATAACTCGTATAGGCCAGTAGAATATTATCTCTTTACAAGCCAGCACTAATCAGATATCTGCCGAGTAGGATTGTGGGGAAAGCAAGGTCCCAAGTATGGCAAGCTACAGATCTGTACAACATCCAATGAATCGTGCAATTCATATCGACAAACATTGGCCATGTCGAAGAACTGCAAGTTTCGAAATGCAATGCTTGTTCTCAGCGCTAGAGGTTCCCTGGACTTTTGTCCGTCGTTTCGGCTCAACAAGGTTAGTAGAACCAACTCTCGTCTCTAAGCCTGTTTAGGTATTTGTCGGGTTAGAAAGAATGCTATTCAGAGCTGAGATGAGCCCGAACGAATGGATGGACGAGTAACCCAATACCTCTTGTGGATTCCTGTATGCCCCAGACGGAAGATAATTACATCCAGTCAGCAAATCCTTTGGAGGGTGTGACGTTTCCAGTTACCAGGTTTTCCTTGTTAATCTTCTTCGCCTATCCCTTCCGTCAGCTACTTGCCGTCTTCCCTTCTCATATCATTTATAGCTGTGGGTATTCCTCCAACACAGTAATTCATAGCAAGAGTGAAAGAGGACAAGCATATCAACTCAGATGTGGACAAATTTGAAAACACGGCATGTACGCACTCACAGCCTTATCATAGATAGTATAACCACCCCTAGTACGATTCTAAAATCGACCCGTCGGACAATGTCATACTGACCGGAGGTTAACCACAATACCCAACAATCGGATGAAATGGAATCAAATCCTGATATCCCTGATGAAATGTTAGTTCGCTAGATCCTGACTCTCCCGCTCGACAAAGTGAATATTTCACATATAAAACGACAGACATATTCCCGCTGTTTTAAATATTCATTCTTCGAGAATCTACAATCGATTTATCAGATACTGCAGTCTATCTTGGTAAGACCCATGGTGAATGCTCCTTATCTATGAACTTTGATAACAATTATAAGCAAACACTATCCCAACAAAATGAAGTCAGGCGGTCTTGTACTGTTCCTCAGCATGACGCTTCTCGCCCTGGCGAGTCCTGTTCCAAAGGGTAAGTGATCATAGTACGCAAACATTGTTGCAGCAACTTCTAAATGAACGAAAGACGATGACGGTGGCCTCGCAGGCGAAAGAAACATCCTCGTCGACCGTAATCCACAGGGTAAGTGATCATAGCACACAAATATTGATACAGCAACTTCTGAATGAACGAAAGTCTGGGGCGACCTCGAAAGAAAAGCGGAAGACATCGTCACTCGTGATGTGGCTGCTACAAATGCCGCAGATTCTTCGGACCACGGCGGTCCTGGTGGCTATGGTGGAGGACACGGTGGTGGTGGTTACGGTGGAGGATATGGCGGTGGTGGCTATGGTGGGGGTGGATATGGTGGTGGAGGCCGGGGTAATGGTGGGCATGGCGGTGGTGGATGGGGTGGTCGAGGGGGCGGTTGGGGTGGTCGTGGAGGGGGATGGTAAAGGCGTTATTGGAATATCGAATCGTCGAGGAAAAGAATCCAACGATTTAGGACTGAGGGCTAGGGAATATGTTGGCAAATACTATAGTTGAGATCAAGAGTGGATTGATTGCTTAGTCTGCCTCAATTAAGCGGCCCCGTTCGTCAGGAGTTACATCGTTGCTCTGTCTGACACTTCCTATAAAGCACGAGTTTGTAGAGATACATTGTCCGAAAGGGTGGACATAGTGACCTTACACGTACCAAATCAAATGTTTTGGGGAACTTGATATTTCCTCGCTAGAATTTATGCAGAATATGATCAATGTTATAAAGGAAGTGTACGTTAGATGGTTAGGTGGAACCATACACCCAATGCGGTCATCCTGGGAATATTCTATGTAGTATTCTGTCCAGCTGCGGGTAACTACTGGCATTATCATCCAAGGGATTTAATAGGTGGAAAACATCATTATTGCAAGAACACAAATGCATTTTATCTGTACTCTAGGTCCGTACTCGAGACCCTTCCAATCAATGCTAGTCCATCAAAACATAAATGTGGTGATAAAAATAGTACTAAGAGGCAAGGAACAAGCGGTGAGAATAGAACTTACACGGGGAATTATCCAATAAAAAGCAGTCCATTATTGGCATGGTTGACTCAGACGAGCAAGGGGAGACAATCTAATCCCGGATCTAGACCACGCCAGGGGGTGTTACTTTGACCCTACTAAGGGGCCGGGTCCCTAGTAATAAGCTTAAATCCTAATGAGCGAGTCATCGGTCGGGAGTCCCGGAAATGAACACTGAAGTCTTAGCCAAACTGGCGATGAGACCTCGATATTTCACGTGGAATTACGATGAGCAGATCATTTCGAAACAAGTCGGCGGATTGGATGTAGTGGAGGGAGTGGATGAAGGGACGGAGGGGATATCGTCATAGGAGTCGATCAGTACGTGGAAGTCTCGAATGTGGATGCAACGTCAACCTTGCATGACTTTTAGTCTTTATGTATGTTGAATTATGGGATGTCTTGAGCTAGATGGAAACTGAGGTCACTATAGTCAAAAAATATTACCTTCCATTCTTCTCAGGGCACAAAATATCAGATTATTGGAGTAGTGGCGCAAGTGCCTGAGTCCATACGGGCTTACCGGGATGATATCACTCGAACCAGAGAGAGGAAGACTAGACAGGGTCCAGCACTAAGCCTCAATAAGCGAGACCCACGGAAATCTGGGGCTTACATCCATGTCGACGGGTGGTACTAGGCGATAATTGGTAAAGTCAAGGACCGATGAAAATTCTAGCGCGCGAACTAAACTCGGATAAAGTCTGATGGGCTCCATGGCTGCGCAAGACGTCACGTCACAGTCGTAGCTTCCCTATGTCCCTTCTTTACTTCTACTTCTGCATTTCTCGATTTTCTATACATCTCTTCATTCTACTCAGATCATTCAGCCGCTGTACGAGCGCACAGCTCAGCCCCACTTGTTCTAAACTTGTGACTTATACTTGTATCTTGTGATCTGCATACATTCACACTTCCCCTACTTCGCCTTGCACCTTTCTTCTTTCCCAAATCCTCTGGAACCTCACAAATGGCTGTTGACTGTATGTCCATGGCTTCGCGCCACCATCCTCACCACCCTTTGAACCAATATGACACATCGGATCGGGCCCCAAGCATGAGTTCAAGTATGGCCAGCAACAATCCATACGCCCGCTACATGTCTCCAGCTCCATCCACCTACTCCCGACGGTCGCGCTCGGAGTCAGTAAACTCTGCCCCGTCGATCTGGTATTCCGGCACACCCGAACATTATCCGGTAGAGCCGAGACGCAGCCAGGACCCATCTGTGCCTCGACGCCGCCGCACTACTCACAACACCCACAAGCCATCGCGGCACTCGCAGCTTGTGCAACCCGATATCATCGATAAACTAGACGATGTTTCCATGTTCTCTTATCACCATGAGGGCCCTTACGATGCTGCCCGTCCCGAACGCAACCGTGTCAGTCAATACAGCCCACTTGAAGCTGTTAAGGAATCAAACGCCGAGGCCCTCCGGGCTACGCCGCATCACAAGATTGCGGATGCCTTGAACAGCCACCGTCCATTGGATGGGGTCGCTTTTTACCCTCCCGGAACTACGGACCGGAGCGGTCAGGAGTATACTTACGAAGAGGGCTCTAACATGATGAATGATTTCTCTGGCAATTTCATGCGCCTGCCAGGAACGGTATGTTTTTCTGTCCTGTCCTCAAATGGCATTTCCTAATTCTGTTACAGAAATTCACGGACGAAGATTTCAAAAATGACCCATTCTACAACCGTCCGCTGTCAAACCCGTTCTCCTCGCTTAAGAAGAGGATCAGTCTGCGCTTGAAGAAGCGCCGCAGCACTGCCTAGAGCTTTCGTCTTCCAACTGTTTACTTGACGACCTCACGACATGCTCCTTTATGATTCTTATGCAATTTTACGATGCTTGGATAATGGGATACCTGGATGCACTTGGAATTCGGGGTTTGGTGTTGGTTTCTGGGGGGCTTTTTTTTCCCCCTTGGTAAATGCTCATTGGATTTTGGTTATTGTGATTTTATGATACCAGAGGCTGTTTTGTTTCCCTCTAGGTGCTTTTAGGTGTTTAATATAGGTCTTTGTCAATATATCACTACTGTGTTTACTTTGTGGAATATATGACACTCGTATGTTTCCACCTGATCATCGACATGCCCAGCGACCAGCCAAGCATCTTGGCCCTTTCATGAGATTCTCACCTGATAATTTGCATATGCTAATGCCAAAGCTCCCAGCGCCGATCAAGAATGCCACGCGTTACACAACGCCGATCCTCCCCATTCTGTGTATCCCCAAGTTCCCCAGACTCCGTGAGACATCTCCGACTCGCACAGCCAAACCAAATTTTGGACCCCTTGGACCCTTTATGATCACCTGTTACGTTCCACCTTCTTTTCCCCGTGATGCTAACGCCAAATATCAGCCAGTCCCACTATATCTGACAACCCCGTCTTCCACGTGCCATGAATCTATCCATGTGTACATGTACTCGCAACGCGACCGGTAAGAAATGCGGAGTGCCGTCTTTCGTGTGCATATTACCCCACGATCAGGAACTTGGCTTTACTTTGCCTTTACTCTTGGATTTGGTTTTGATTTTAGCTTTGAGCTTCCCAGATGGTTGCTCCCCTCTTCATGTGAAAGATATCTAAACCCCGCAAGAAGCTAAGAATTACAGTACTTTCGTCGGTCTAAAGCCCGAATTCGAGATACAGAACGTCGGCTCCGATATCCGAAATCGACAACTGCCTACCAACACGCTGCAGGTGGCTTTGGTCATCTGATTACCCAAAAGCAAACATATCCTCGGCTTGGACACCCATGTCGTGTTAGCGGGGAAGTGTTTTTATGCAGGGCAGGGGAACTCGTATTGATTATTCCACCCGCTCGCGGAATACGGGGACGAAGATATGGGAGTGATAGCCTACCACTGGATCGCCTATTTATGGCTTTTGGTATACAATGCACCAGTGTCTGATCTTACATTTCGATGCTAGCAATATTCAGGTCGAATCTACGCTCAGTCTAGCGATAAGAAGGCTTCGCCTTCCTGGGACAGCAGCGCTGTATTGGAGTGCGCATCAAAGAGAAAATATGAGAGGATGCGTTTCTTTATGGAAGGGACAAGCATTTTGTTGCTCGGTATATTTATAACGCAATTTAGAGTGTACTAAGTCTTGCTAGATTCTAAATTACATGTCAACTTTCCCAGCTTCCGACTTGGGCAGCCCTGCAAAGATCATGCCATATTAGGCCGAAGGAATCAAGACTTCATTCGCTAAGATCATGCCAACTCAAGGGTTAATATTACTGGTCTAAAATGTCCGTGGTTGGTGCTTTTTCGGTCAAATGCTTAGCATGTCGGCAACCCGGATATCAACGGGTAGTTCCCGCCGAGTCGCGCGAATTGGAGTTCATTGTGGAATAAAAGGGTCCTACTTTTACTAAAGCAGCGATGAACCAAGAGTCGGCTTCCCTTGCTTCGTTTCCTCGCATCCAACGGCCCCCCGAATAAGACCCGTTAGCGAAGAACAGCTATCTAACCGAGGCGCAATATGCACACGAACCTGGACTCCGTCGGAGTTATAGTTTTCTCCATTAACAAGACCCTCAATTTCAGGCATGACGCCATCAATTAGCATGTCACCTTCCTAGTTATAACTGGCAACGTTGCAATCACTCTAGGCCACCGCGTTACCCCGCTTGGCACCGACGAATGACTGTTTCACGGCGGATATCACCGCCAGACGATGTGGAGCACTCTAGCTTCATCGGCAAAGCTTGGTGGTGCGGTAATCTCCAGCAAGAAATTGATCTGCATCGTGCAAGGTCAAAAGAAAACAACATGGGACTCGTTAAATAGATGGAATAGCCTCGCGAATTAGGGTGTCTGCTTGGAGTTGAACAGGAATATCTCACGATGTTGGTTTTGGCACCTTTTACACTATTAGTGGCTGCGGTCGCTGCTTTGCAGAGTCCACACCGCAAGGCCGCATCTTTGAAACAGTCAGCTAGGAATATTCGCAAGAGAGAAGTGGCTTCTAGTCAGACTGAACCTCAGTATCTGAACCAAAAGACAGAGAGTAAGTCGGGACAATCTGTCAATGGATGCAACATTAACAGAAGAGACTGACGTTGACTAGAGTTCCTCGTCAATGGCACAAACTTTCCTCAAGTGCCTTTCGATATCGGTGAAAGTTACTCCGGTCTGCTGTCCAACACACCTCATGGAAACTCCAGCTTGTTCTTCTGGTTTTTCCCATCTACCAACCCGGCTGCGGAGAAGGAGGTATGTCGGCATCCGATGCTCCGCTGAACCAGTTCTCATTCTCTTTTAGATTACCATTTGGCTGAATGGAGGCCCAGGGTGTAGTTCTCTCGATGGTCTGCTGCAGGAGAATGGTCCCTTCCTGTGGCAATCCGGCGTGTATGAGCCTGTGCGGAATCCTTACTCGTGGACCAAATTGACCAATGTTGTCTACATTGACCAACCTGCCGGCACTGGCTTCTCGCCTGGCCCAGCTACGGTACAGAACGAAATTGATGTCGCGAATCAGTTCAATGATTTCTGGAAGCGATTCATTGAAACCTTCAGCATGCAGGGCTACAAGGTTTATATCACCGGAGAGAGCTATGCCGGTCAATACATTCCCTATATTGCTTCTGGGATGTTAGATCGCAACGACAAGACGCATTTCAATTTAAAGGGCATTCAAATCAATGATCCGTCTATCAACGAAGATAATGTTTTGATCTATGGTGAGTACTGCGATCTTCCTACTAAACGCATCACCACTAACTCCCCCTCAGCTCCGGCCGTCCCAGCATTGAACTACTTCTCCAATGTCTTCGGTCTCAACGAGACATTCATGAAAGAAATAAACAAGCGCAACGACGAATGCGGCTACACCAAATTCCTAAACAAAGCCCTAACCTTCCCCCCGCCCAAGGACTTCCCAGTCGCGCCAGACCCAAGCAAGCACGGTTGTGACGTCTGGGATCAAGTAGTAAAAGCAGCAACCTACATCAACCCCTGCTTCAACATGTACCACCTAACAGACTTCTGCCCCTTCCTCTGGGACGAAATGGGCTTCCCATCCCTAGCGGGCGGACCAAACAACTACTTCAACGAATCCGCCGTCCAAAAGGCCCTCCACATCCCACCAACAAACTACGCAGTCTGCGGAGGCGACATCTTCCCCAATGGCGATGGCTCAGTCCCCAGCGGATTAGGCCCCCTGCCCAGCGTCATCGAGCGCACGAATAACGTCCTCCTCGGCCACGGATGGTATGACTACCTCCTCTTCGCAAATGGATCACTAGCTACTATCCAAAACATGACCTGGAATGGAAAACAGGGCTTCCAAAAGCCTCCCATTGAGCCGTTCTTCGTGCCGTATACTGATGCTCTGGATCGGATTGCGAACGGACGTTCGAGTACGCCTTGGACTGCTGATGCTGGTGCTGGTATTCTGGGCACGGCGCATACTGAGCGTGGTCTTACCTTTAGTACTGTCTATGGCTCTGGTCATGAGATCCCACAGTATGTCCCTGGTGCGGCTTATAGGCATCTTGAGTTTTTGCTCGGGCGCATTGATAGCCTTCAGCAGAAGGGACCTTTTACTGCACTGTAAATATTTGATCATTATCTGTCTCTTGTTAGGGCATCATAGAGAAGTATGCATGTTATTTAGAGGGAAAATTCTCAAGAATGCACAAATCTTACTCTCATGCGTTATTCTATAGATGACGTCATACATGTCTACCCGCTTTGGGCCAACATAACGTTATGCTCGTATTCGTATCCAGAATGCTGCAATATGATTGGGTTTCCTCGTGTGTACTATAGGCTTTTCTCTTTCAGATATTGATGATATTCGCTCTGTGTGCAACATGTCTGTAGCTAATGAGTAGAGTCAACGACAATAACGTTATGTCTGCCCCGACTATGTATACATAAAAGAAGACTAGAACGACGTAAGAAATAATAGAAACATCTCTCATAAGAAAGACCAATTCAATTCAATTCAAACACTGTACCGGTTCTCACCTCGAGACGTATTCCACTATGTCCACCAGCAACTACTCCATCCCATCAATCATCGCCGCCTATGGCCTCGGTATTGCTCCACACGGGTATTACTTGGTAAAGATGATGGCCAATGCAAGGGGCCAATCGAGCAATATCCTGTATGTCATTCCGAAGTATACACTCAGACCTATATCGAGACAACGCCGCTAATCAACCCAAAAGGCCTCGAGAAAACCTCTCCACCCTGAAAGGTCAAATCTCAGCCCAAGTATGGGACAAACTTGCCAGAGCCCGTGGCGCACACTTGAACGCTATGGAGGGACTTCCGATGTTTGCAGCTGCAATGGTAGGTTATATTCAGTGATACATTTAGACTCCTTATATTGGATGCCTTGTCCTAACGCGCATGCTTCCCACAGCTTGCAGGAAACCTGGCGAATCTCCCAGCGAAGGATATGAATACTTTGGCAGTTGAGTACCTCGGTGCGCGAATCTTATACACGGCCCTTTATATGGGTGTCCGATCGGAGGCGGCGAGTTATCTGCGGACAGGTGTTTGGGCTTGGAGTATTTCGCTTCCGATCTGGGCGTTGTATAAGGCTGGGAAGGCACTTAATGCTGCCGAGTGATCTTGACAGCAGCTACCATCTTGTATTTCAGAAGAAGAGTTCGTTTTGGGGTGTTTTCAGTTCTATTCGAAATGACTGCTTTGGTCTGCTATCCATTCGTCAAATGACATACCCTTAGAAAGCCAAAGCCCTCTCTCCTCTTTTCCTCCTAAGGTAATTACTACTCTCGACAACACTGCTCTCGAATGCCCACCACCATCTCTCAAACATCAACTGACCAATTTCCCACTCGACTGGTGAAAACGGATCCTGTCCCCGAATATTGACACCCTCGCCACCAGGATCCTCCATATCATATACCAGCCTCACGAGACCTAACTGATCCTGTGCGCTTTTTGGACGCATGTCGATAGGAAGATTAAACACTTGAATCAACTTATCCCGCGCGCCAGGCCAGGGTAGGAGGTCTAGGATTGGATGGTGCGGGATAAGGCGCTGGGTAGGTGTTGGTTGAAGATGGGATGGTAGCTCATCAAATTCCGGCAGATCCGTCATTTGGGCAGAACTTGCTGAGGACTTTTCTGGTGACGATCCCAGGCTATCCAAGGATGGTAGCGATGTGCTAGATAGTTGAGAAACATTCCGTTGGAAAAATGGGCTGGTAGCTGTCATGTCCCATATGAGCTCCGTGACATTTAGTCGCTGTGCGACTTTCATTGCGGCATTGAGTAGAGTCAAGGAGGGGACTTCTAGCATGCGATCATCGGGGAAGTTGAAGAAGGACGCGTCGTAGTTTTGCAGTTCTGTAGATATGTCGAAATTGGAGTCTAAGTTGTTGGGAAGACTGCCTAGGAACTGGGTTTTGGGTTCGCTCGTCATCGCGTCTTGGTATTCTTGATTTTCCCATTCTAGTGCTGGCGTATATCGGTATATTGAATCTTCAAAAGGAAGGTCATCCAATAGCGTTTTAGAGTATATTGGATTCATCGCTGTGAGATCGGACGAGGGTGTCTGAGGAAAAACTGGGATGATTGCGGGATTCTGATTGTTTACTTGTATTGCTTCATCCGCCGACTGAATAACAGAGGCCAATCCAAGTTCAATTTCCATGGAATCAGCTGGGACAACCTGGGCGTGTCGCGCCTGAGGTTCACGCTGGGCCGTGGCTGGAGCCGACGGTACGACCTGAGGGGCCTCTGTATGATTTGCACCACGCGATTCCAGAGCTTGGATCCGCTCCCTTTTCCTTTTGCCTGTTGTACCTTAGTGATGGCCATACTTTGGCTAAAGGGCACCACTTACGATATCTTCTTTGGGCTAGGATGTTGAGGACGCGCTTCCGCTCCAGGGCATCCTCGTCCAGTCGGGGAAGAACCAAGTCCGGGTTGGCAGACTTTCGAGACATGAGTGGTAATCTATCTGGCCGGATTCTTTAGAATTGAGAGGCTTGGATAAAATTCAGTTTGGTAAACCCTGGAGGTGGGATGAGGTACAATCCTTGCAACGTGCTATCGTGTCATTGCCTGCTCGTATTCGGGCCACGCCGAGCCATATGCGGGGTTACAGTAGGAATAGTCGAAAATTTGAGAAAACCTGAACTCATGAGGAAGATGAAGGCTGAGGTAATCTAAAAATGAATTGTTACTTTTCAATATGTTGTTCAGCCGCCGCCACTTTCTTCATGCGTTTTTTTATCATTACTGTTTGTAGGGCTGAAATGGTCTGTCCTAAACATCCATTATTCTAAATCCCCCGAATCATTATATCTCGCCACTATTCCTCCTCCTTCACAGACAGAACTTATCAAGATATCATACACTGTGGAACAACCACTCTCCCCTTAGTGGTGCTTCTTGGCAAAAGCAGTGGCGCTGGGACCGGCAGAGGAGCTGGGAGTAGCATCCAAGGGGCCGATCCTCAGGGTGCCGCAAGGACTGGTTGGAGCAGTGAGGCAGTCACCGAGGTACAGGCCGAGGCTACCAGTCTCGTTGCGCTTTGAGAGGATCTGGTTGGGACCGTATGCCGACACCAAAGAAGTGGAGTTATCGGCAAAGAGGGTAGAGTTCACTCGGCTACCAATGAAAGTAGCATGGCCGTTGTACTCAGCAGCCAGGCGGGCCATGAGGAAGGTAACCTCGGGGGTCTGGGTGTAGCCAGCAAGACCGATGAAGCCACCAGTGACAGTAGACTCGAATTGATAGGCCCAGTGAGCCCAGGCCGAGGTAGTGTTGACCTGGGGGTACGTGAAGCTGCAGGTGGGCTGCTGGAAGCTGGATACCTTGGCGCCGACCTTCTCAACAGCTTCAATCGCGAGGGTGTTCTGGTTTGAGAGACCCTGGAGGATCCTCTTGTATCCCACAATAGACGCGTTTCTCGAGCTGGAAGGGAAGTTGGAGTCCACGGTGGAGTTGTAGTAGCCGCCGATGAAGTTGGCCAAACCCCAGGCGAATTGCAGAACCCCAGCGTCAGAATCTGAGGGCGAGCAAGAACAGTTTGCCGCAGAGGAGGCAGTAGCTCCGGCCAAGACAAGGCTAACCAAGTTGAGGAAACGCATCTCTCTTTACGTCACTTTAATGTGTACAAGTTTGAGGGAGATGTATGTGGGAGAGAAGAAAGCTTTGCTACGTCGTCCGTACCCGGGCACTGTTTTATACTACTCCACCACGAAGTTCGCATAAGTCTTCTCGAGTCATGATCGCGCCTAGCGACGAATGCGGCAAGATTCTCACAAATCAGGCGAAATGAAGCTGGAAGATAACCGGTAGTCCTTTTCTTGCTAGCGTCATAGAGGTAAACGGCAGGGATTGCGCGTGGAATACTGGAGAAAGGCAACTATGGTGTTCAATGATATAGCTATATTTTCGTCAAATGACGTATACCGTTGCATATCTCAACAGGCCAGATCAATTCGCTGCCTATCATCACAATAAAGTTTCGGGAAACGTGGAGCTCAAGATTTGAGGTGCTAACTGCAGTTGGGGAGGTTCGGGATACCCGGCTTGGTGTGGATCATGGCGTCGTAGACTCCGAAAGTTCACAGTTGCATCCTAAAAGATCTGGAACCTCATGGAATATTTAAGACAATTATACCTTACTAAAGAAGTTATATTCTCTAATTGAATCATAATGAAGCTTCGGTCCCACAAGGTAGCAAATTCTAGGTTGTTGCATTTCTTTTTTAGCTGTTCGGATGAGAGCGGATAACAAGGTCCTTGACTACAAAATACGTTCTTTACAGTGATTGATCGAACTTCTCAAGTTTAATTTTAAAATTCTGCTGCCTATAAAAAATCTAGAGTATCCAAGCTTGACGAGCCTGGGGAAAGTAGTAGATGAGCGACGTAGGAAACACAGGATCTGAAAAAAAGAAGAAACAGCAAGTATCGGCTAAACACACAATATCCATCCCATGTTTCATCCTATAGAATCCGCCATCAATCATGTACATAAATATACACCGAGTCCATCTATATACATTTCATGTGATGCGCAACTATACATATCCCGCTCAATAGAGCGCTCAGTCCCGTACATAAGATGACGAGACCGTATCCACTCCCATACCCCCCGACAAGAGAATCCTTCAAGGGGTCTGTGCGAAGCAAAGCCTCGCTGAAAGGGCCGCTAACGACATTGCCAATTCCTCGCCCAAAAGCAATGACTGAAAATATTATGGTCGCATCGGCGGTTGGGTCGACTCGTTGGACCTCATTCGTGATTCCCGACCATGTAGCTGAGAAACATCCTGCAAATAATCCGTATGCAACACTGAATACCAACAAAGTTGGAATTGTTGAAGAAAATCCCCAGAGGAATAACACTGCCAGCGTACTGCCAACGGTGGAGATCGTAATGCAGGTGATTACATGGTATCGATCTGCTAGATGGCCCATGGTCACGCTGCCGAACACAGACGCTAGATTTAGAAGCATCACCGTGAGCGAGGATATAAAACTAGAGCCTCCGATATTGCGGGCGTATGTTGGGAGATATATGCCCGGTAGGAAAAATCCCAGAGCCTCCATGATGTTGCCAATCTGATAGATGACAAATACCTTGTTGAGAAGGAATCGGAAGTTGAGACGATGGTAGCCGATTGTTTTAGAAACTGGAAGGCGTGGTTTGTGGAAGTATAAGAGCGGAGCAGCTAGAACAAAAATGAGAACGGAGATCACTCTCAGAGTGGTTTGGAATCCAAAATTCGACAAGAGTTTCTCCAGGCCGATCGGAAAGGCGAGACCAGATACCCCTGATCCAGCCCAGACTATGCCGAATGCAAGTCCTCTTCGTCTGACGAACCATTCACTCATGTAGAGAATTGAAGGGCTGTATGCTATACAGCCACCGACTCCAAATCCGACACCTTGTGATAGAATAAGGTGGGTAATGTTCTTTGAGAATGATCCCAAAGCTAGGGAAAAGCACATGATGGTTAATCCTATGATAGAAAACCATCGGCCCATCTTGGGGATGAGAATCATTGCAATAATTACAACGGGACAGCTCAAATAGGAGATTCCCTGTGTGAATCATTAGCAGGTGGGCAAGGAGAGGATTTTGTACTCGAACCGTAGCACATGTTCCAATAACAGCCACCATATCAGAGTCCTGGAAATCTTCAAGGTCCCGATAGTATTTTTCAAACACACCAAAAGCGAAGGCGAATCCTATATTGCAGTTAGTTAGCGTGTTCTTCATAATTGAAACTTGTCATGTGTTACCCCATATAAGAGCCTCAAGCATAACACATGCTGCCAGAAACATCCATGCTTGGATTCCTCCATCCACCGGAGGTAGACTTTCCCCTTCAGTTGAGATACCATCAAACTTTTCAGGACATAAGTGTATTTGGGCTTCGCTCCCAGTTCGTGAGTTGCTGCTGCAAGAGTGTCTGGTCTCCATTTTGATTGTATTCTGTCAGGTTGAATGACATAGCATGTGAGACAAGACAGAATCAGATTTAGACGGCCGACCTATCGGTTATAACTACATATGTTTGCACCTCTAATTAATTTCTGTCACATTGCTCGATGACTGTCAAGGGAGGTCCAAGTTGTTGGAAGGGATGAACAAATCCATGTTAGAGGCCAACCAGGTGACGGGAAGAATTTCCATACGTCTTGGATTATAAGGCTGGCATGTAACTTCTGGGATTCGCGGCTTATAACCGGCAACTTTGCCTCACATCTTTGGAAGTTGGTTATTCAGGCGGAGCCATCTAGCTGATTGTGCAATTGGACCGGGAATCTGATGATTTGACCTAACATAAGTGCAAGTTAATGAGATCACTCTCATGGGTCCACTATGCTGTGTTATGATATCGAACCCCTGTTTTAAATCTCCTTTAACTATGAACACTCTAAAAGGCTCCAACTGACGTGCTTTGTGTGGGGAATAGAAATATCACTCGGTCTGTGTCGGAGGATTGCAAGCTAGGACAAATGGAAGACGGCTAGGAACGGGCATGCGAAGGGATTGGAATGTAGGGTACGCGCACTTTCCAAAACAAGGTTGAAAACACCGGAGACTTTATCGATAAGGTGTGTTATATGATATCATTGATCAAGCTTCAAGCTGTATACAGCAGCTTTGAAAGCCCCTTGCTTGCATAATTCCCCGTAGGACCACGTTAGACTCGTGATAAGCCAAGAACCTTGTTTTTGGTTTTAACAAACAAGGGGCCCCGTGGATGTTCCAATGATCTCGTTCCTAATGTGACATAGCACGCAACATAGATGAAACGAACGCTGATCACCATTTGAGTTTTGTGTACTTAAGTTGTCTGCCTTTCCCCGAGGGCTGGTCACGCGACCACTATAGTGTAGCAGCTGCCCCCATAATAGAAATCGGCAGAAGATCTGTGTAAGGAGCTTTATTTAGGCTCATGCAGTGGAGTTAAAACGCAAGTTTGATTTTATATGATCATGTGGGGTTTGTAACAAACACGAGAACACCCTGTAAGGTATGTTGAAGACATTTTGCTATTTGGCGGCGTTGTGATTCAAATTCAGTACATTTATGACAGCTCGCGAACATTCAGCTAGTTGAGTTCTCTCAGTTGGCTAACCACAGATTTTGATCTGTGCCATACCCAAATGGTATCCACGAATCATTAAAGTATCTTTGTAGCACAGTCTGTCCGTAACTCATATCATCAACGCAGTATCCACCACCACCGGGTCCGATGTGCGCACAGTGGATTTCGGGCCGATACTGCACCATATGCTCATGAACCTCACGACACAGCAATGTATTCCGACCCAACTCATAGCTCTTGCCAAATCGTGCGGTTTTGGTCAAAAAGTCGTAGCAAGCAGTAGTGTCAGTATACTGCTGATTTGACCCTGTGCAATGCTGTTCATGGGTCTCGCAAATTGTCTTTGCTAATAGATCAGCCACATATGCGACAGCTTGGTCAGGCGAGGTAGCATTGATCTTCGTTGCCACACCTCCGATCAGGAAGTCGACTAGGTACTCGAACCAGCGGAACACGGCGTCATATTGAGCAATCTTTCCGTCTGGGTTGAACTCGATCCAGGTATCGATTGTGACGGGGATGAGAACTCCGAAGGTGGTTGCGTTGAAGGTTACCACCGTGGTTGCAGAGGCGATGTTGTCATTGGCGGCGAACTGGGTTATGTTATATGCGATCGGAACACCGACAAGGCTGACGTGCACTGGATCCGAAAAGAGGCCGAAGATGTATTCGCGGTTGAGCTCATCTCCATCGAAGGTGCGGGTAATGTCAACACGTCCTTGAACCTATGATTTGTGAGAAATATTCGATGATCATCTAAAAAGAGTTTCGAAGGCGTTATGTTATGCCTTACATCGGAGGCGAAAATGCTAGATGAATTTCCCTGTGTTTGCTTCAGATTTGCAGGGTAGAGGAAAGCATCCCAAAAGGTCTTTTCAAGATCCCAAAGCTCGTCAAATGTAAAGGTTGGCCTTGCATGCTTTCTTAGGGAGTCTTTGGACGCTTCCACTGAAGCAAACAAGCAGCTCAAGATAGCTGCAAGTAAGAGTCCCCGCGTGGTGGGAAACAAATTCATTCTGGTTTGATATCACTCAGGCTCCTCAGATGCGTTATGAAAGTGGCCATCAAAGCTAAACGGCCTTGGCCCTGGTATAAATAAATCTCTTTTTGCTATATATTTTGCCTGATTTATTTATTATTCGAGGTATGTCAGATTTGATCTCAGTTAAGGCGCCCCATTGAAATCGGCTGACCTGAAATGTTTACCGTTGGCATGTATTGTTACGAGGACCCCGTTCAGGGGTCTCGCTCCAATGAAGCTATTTAGGCTTGCGTCTTGCATAGATGTGGGGATCATCCGGCCTTGCTCGGCGAGGCCCTCTACTGCCACTTTATTTGTCGAGGGTAGTATTTGCTTTTGTAAGGGCTGAAAATCGGTTATCCCGCCACCGAGAAAAATTGAGACTGACTGATACACTACTTGCAGAATTCAAAGAATATGTATTACAGCGCGTATATTGAATCACGGCTTATTTTATTTTGTTGGCTTGCATATTTGCGAGTGGCAGTTCATCGAAATAAGGCTATTCACAGTAACCCTGGAAGTCTTTGGATCACACAGGTCTTGACCCGAGTATGTTTCACTCCGTTCCTCTGTCTAACTCTAATTTTTGTCCTTTTTTTTTTTTTTTTCCCTTTTTCTACTCGCTATTTTCCAACCCTAATTACCAATTACCAATTACAAACGGAATAGTTTAATTGGCGCCACTATTGATCACCAAACTTTTGAAGGATAAAAGCCCGGAGTAATCGATCACCCGGGGACCCTTGCAAGACTGCGGATTGTTCGATACCCAACGAACGACTAGTAATTTGGTGTAGCACATGGACCAAAGAAAAGAAGTCAATCAAGGTCCCGCAAGTCCAATTTAGTGAATTGTCGCAGGTCTAGCTTTGGTGATCAAACCACAGATCTCACCATATCAGCATCTATATTCGACCCTCCCAACGAAGAGTAGATATTCTATACATTCAGAGGCTTTTGCAATCATCAGTATCTCCTCGCCCCCTCCTATCAAAATATTTACATCATGCGCACACATCCCAGGCCCGAGAGGCGACATTGTAAGCACAGCCTGCGGGTACAGCACAGCCGCACATAGGCGGGGTAGCCTCTCCCTGGTGGCGTTTAAGGATTCCTGAATTGCATTCTCGCATACTCCCACGCAAAGTCATCATGTCCCTTCCAGGGCTGGGTTGTATGCCCATCTGAAAGCCGAGTTGAACGATGCTAATAATCATTTCCCGTAGACCCGTAAAGATGTACTCCGCGTTCAAGGACCTCAATCTCGTCGCCGACTTCGACATACAACCCCATATTTTGCTCTTCGGCCTCCATCAAGTTCCGATCTTCGGGAACACAGTGCATGCCGAGGTAACCGAGTGCCGCCTTGTTTCCAGTCTCAATCGTACGGTGCTCGACTAATGTTGTGCTTGGCTGAGGTTTGCCTTTCTTTTTCTCTGGGGGAGGAATATCCGCATCGAATGTTCCCGTGTTGGTGTTGACGTTCGGCATAGTGCATCGAGATGTGCGGCAAACAACTGATAGCACGGGAGCTACACTGGCGCGTGGCTCCTCAATGCTACGAAGTTTGGCTCGTTTAGGCATTATGCGGCAGCGTTTCCACGTCTCTTCTTCATAGGCGGGGGTGTTTGTGATCCATATGTTTGCCCGGAAGCGAACTGCATTCAAAGGTTGGTTCTCTGGGGGAAGAAGTGACGACACAGCATGTACCGAAGACAAACTGTTAATATTGACAGGCTGCTGGTCTGTGTAACCGTGTACGGCTGGGGTGCCGATGTACTGAAGTGGTGCGAGGTTCTTATCGGTACGTACGAGGGTATCTGGAGTGCACCCCAACAGCGTGAGACTCTGATCCTTGGGGATTCGCAGAAACTTCTTCAGCTTGGGCAAGGCAGATGCAACTGAAGGTACTTCTCCCATATCAAGGCCCTTTGCGTCACGGGAATGTATGCGGAACGTTTTCATCCTCATATGAAGCCGGTCCATCTGAGTCGCTGTGATTTGGAGAGGCACAATGAAGGATACCTGGGGCGTAGCGGAGAGGCTCCATGTACGGAAAAGTGTCTCAAGTCGAGTAGTCCAGTCCGGCATATCTGGGTCTGGAAATGTCAAGACCACACACCCACCTGATTGAACTAACGGGTCGTCTGGATTGCTGTCCTTGGTTGGCAGCCATAATTCTGTCTTGATGAGAGCCATGTTTGGTTTGGTGCGCTGGCTGATGAAACGCCATTCTGACAGTGTAGGAGCTTCTGGTTGAGGCATCTCAGTTGCCAGTGCGAAAGACCTATCGTACTTAAAGCCAGCCTTGGTGAGCAAAGCTCGGTCTACCTCGACAGGTCCGCATGACTTGACGGGGTGGATGTATATAGCCTTCACACGGGCTAGTCCATCAAGGTGGGCTCCTTCCGGTGCCTTGTATTTCGGGTCATATTGATCTGTCATGTTGCTCTCGTGTAAACCGAGTTTTCGTAGATGTTTCAATTTCCTGCGTGTTGCAAAGTCGTCTCCAGAGTATGCAATAGCCGCAAAGAGCAGGCTTATCAGAAGTGATATTGTAACGAAGCCATATAATACGACTGCAGCATCTAGCGTGCTGTAAAAAGAGTGCACATATTGAAGTAGCATTTTCCAAGCGTGCCCTCTCGCGACGTCGTGGGTAGAACTGTGTCAAATTTTAGTGGCAGAAAGTAAGGTCGAAATGAGTCAACTTTGCGGGTTATGGTGGAGGGTGAATGTGAGAGTGAAACTCGAGGCAGCCGTCAAGGACGGCAGAATATAAAGAATCTATTGGTGGGAGTGGATCGTTACACACTATACCGCCTTTTACCCGTCTATACGGATACGCGCTACAGAAGAATACTGATATTATCTACTCGGGGACGTAAATGAAGATCAGGCGTGCTCCTTTCCATTTATTTCAAATATGAGAGCATTATCTAGCATTGACCATGTAATAATGAAGACCAAAAGAGCAGTGTTGGCTGCCAAATTGGAAGTGCCAGCGATGGACGTCGCTCTAATAAGATCATACAGCAAGAAGGCTTCCGCCTCCCACAAGAACATCGCGACGAGGAAGTATGTCAGATATGTAAACAGCTGCACAGTTCGAGAGAAACTGCAGTGTTGAGGAGATTTCAGTGAGGCCAAAAGGATTGCTCTGGCCAATAAGTTCGAAATACTACGTCTGGTATGTATCTGGTGAGGAGCAGGAGATAGATATTATTCACACTCGGGGACATGAGCACTCACTTTCAAAGTAGTCATCAGAGAAATTCTGCGACTGAAGGCCAAGCATAGCGACGACTGTTCTTGATCGATGCTCCATGGAAAACAATTAAAAAACAAGGACATAATATACAATGTCCAGAGAACAAAGCGTTTGTCTTTCTTGAGGTGCGTCCATAGCCGCTGGCACTGTTCCTGAGGAGTCATGACGGTTCTACCAGTGACTTTCTTAGCGATATCGACACTGTGTGCAACATTTTCGACATGGCCTCTCCTTTTCCTTGAGATCTGCCTTGTCCCGAACGACTTGATACATGCTCTTCTCGACTCCGTTGTAGAATAAGCGGAATGGCCAGCTTGATCAAAAGCCTCGTATGGTAAGTAGCAGGAAGTTCAAAGCAATTAGTTTATAATGACCAAATTTGTGGGCTTGACGGTCACAATATATCTCAATTCGTAGAATATGCGACATGTAGTTAGACCACCAACGGATCTTCATATGGGGAATTACGGGGCAAAGTCCGGGTTCCAGCCTTTCCACAATATCCAGACCTTCTTCGCGCACTTCCATGACCGTTGATTGTATCTGACAGATCAAAAAGAACCAATTGAGTGATGTTGAGGTTGAGAATATCGGCGAAACTATTCGCTCCTTGCCAAAAGTCTTGGAATATCTCCGAAGTTTGGCCGGCATTTTAGCGATCAGATCGTAGCCGTCAAGGCTTTCGTATCAATCGACTTATACTCATGTCCTTCATAATTGTTCGTTCGGTGAAATATTAAGTTTTGGAGTTATCATTGGACGAGGAATGCAGTTCAACGGGAAGAATGTGGGAGACAGCTCGGCGAAGAATGAGGAGCAAAACCGAGACTTGATCTTTTTGGAATCTCAGAACTTAGAAATGGCGTCTCTTGTTGCGAACAAGAATTTTTGACTGTGATTGTTTTCCCGATATTCGTGATCGATTGTCGCGAGAATTGACCGAAAAAGGGGAAACGCGTAATCGAGGTGCGATCTTTTGAAGTTATACCGAAATTCCGAGAACGCCAAAACAAGCCTGGATATATTTAGCCACCTCGGTCACTCATCTCTTCATAATCCAATATCTCATGCATTCTGGAAACACCTCTTATTTATCCAATATTGCGAGATGGCATTCAATCGCTTCCGGCCTACATCGCATTTTATCGCTCCTCATTCGTGGATGAACGATCCATGTGGTGCAGTGTGGATACCAGAGACACAGGAATACCGTGTCTGTTATCAATGGAACCCAGGTACTTCCAAAGGCGGGAATAGTGCCTGGGGAATGGCAAAGAGCAAAGATTTAGTCGCATGGCAGGACTGCACTCCGGCTTTGAGAAACGGCACATCCTACGATTCACTAGGCGTTTTTTCTGGGTCAATCGTTTCCAAAATCGTCGAAGGAGAGCGTGTTCTGTACCTTTTCTACACGAGTATCTCATACTTGCCAATCCATTGGTCGCTACCTTACGTCGAGGGGTGCGAGTCCCAGTCTGTTGCATTCTCGACAGATTTCGGGGAAACATGGCACCGTTATCAATACAATCCGCTTCTAGCATCACCGACAGATGGCACAAGGACAACCGGATGGCGGGATCCCTACGTTTCACAGTCGCAGTCTCTTTCCAAGCTGCTGGGGTCAGATGTCGAAACCAACTTCATGATGATCGCGTCGGGCAATCGAAACTTGGGATCCCAGCTTTGCCTGTATCAATCGAATGACCTACTGGGATGGGAGTCTCTGGGAACGGTGCTAAGAGTAAAGAATGGGTCCAAGATCTCACCCACCAGCAATTTGCAATTCGGGAAGAACTTTGAATGTGCTTCATTCTTTAGTCTGGGCCAGCAAGACTATATCGTCGTGGGTGTCGAGGAAGACACTCATAGCGAAAGACACAATGGGCATTATCTCTTGTGGCTTTCCGGCAAATTCACGTTGAAAAACGGCAGCCTCGACTTCGAAATTCAGTCCCACGGATTATTGGACAACGGCATTTTATACGCGGCCCATATCTTTCGTGATCGTGAAAACAGACTACTTCAACTGGGCTGGGCTGACGAAAGTGCAAAAGAGTGTGTCACAGAGTCGCAGGGCTGGGCAGGGTGTCTGGTTCATCCGAGGGAGCTGTTCGAGATTTCCGAGCCTATAACCGATGCTGGAAGAGCGAGCAATAGATGGCTCGTTGACGAAGAATCTGGCACGATGTCGACACTTGGAATCCGCCCAGCACCACAAGTCACGACTCTCAGATCTGGTTATCCCTCAAATTCGCTTCAGGATTTTAGCTCAATCCGAACGAAGACCTTTGAACTAAAAGCTACCTTCACCAACCTCTCCGGCAACGAGAGGTTTGATTTCAATGTTCGAAAATCGCCTGATGACACCGAATTTACGAAGCTCATCTTTGATCTCGCGAAGGGCGTAATGATAGTTGATAGAAGCAAGTCTTCTATCCACGGTCTCGGAGAGTCAACTCCTGACTTCGGGGATCTTGACCTCCTCGATGGAGAAGACCTTGTTGTTCGAATTTTTGTCGATGTTTCTCTGGTCGAGATTTACGTGAACAATCGATTCACGCTCACTTCACGTATTTATCCAAGCCTTGAGACTTCGATATGTGCATCATACAACTTTGGCTCATATCCTGAGTCGGCTGTAGATTTGAGATTCTGGGACAGGCTCAGAGATGCATGGCCAGACAGAATCTCCCCCGGTGATACATTGACAGAGATGGGCGCACATGAAGGGAATGAGCTGCGTGAGCAGGAGCTTGGGAGAAGCGAAAGTATTCTGTGTCGTACTATCGTAGCTTGAAGTTTAAGATGATTGAAGGAAACGTGATTGTATGTATATCAACTTGACGCGACTCAGTGCAATTATGTCTGCTCATATTGTGCAAGTATTAAGGGGGAATTCTGCGGGCAATATCGAATCCCTTCACTAGGTTTGTACAAATGGTCCTTTGTGCTTCTTTTGTCTAAGTCGACAATAATTCGATCGCAGGATTAGAAGTAGAAAAAAACATCAAGATTCCTCGCAGTAAACGCCATCAATGGACTGTACAATCTATATACCGTTTCAAAAAAAAAAAGCCGTAATCCTTCACATCATTCAGTCTGTAATTATTTCTGAGACTTGGTCACAATGACATCAGCAAGTGCCATCAGCGAACCAGTCGACAGGAGCTCCAACACCTGCACATTGGCATTTGCCTCACGGGCAATCCAGTTACGAATCTCAATCGCAACCAAAGAGTCCAAACCAAGCGAAGAAACGGAGATAGTAGGCTCGATATCCTCAAGGGAAAGCACCAAAACTTGGGCCAGCTTGGCTGCCAAAGCCTTGTAACAAACTTGCAGTTTCTCCTCCTTAGATTCGGAGTTGGCGAACTGCACATGGAGCGGCAGAGCGACCTCGGCTGATTCTCCACCGGCCTGAGTCTTGTTGGCTGTGGCCAGGAGACTGAACTTGGCGTCCTGCTCCCAGAAGTGGTCATGAGTGTTAGACTCCAAGCCAGTAATGGCTTGCCCGCCGCATGACTGCGCCAGATCGCCGGTGATGGCCGCAGCCAGAAGTGCCAGCACTTCCGCCTCGGTCATTCCGTCTGTGCCGATGTTCTTTAGTACCTCTTGCTGGCGCTTGGTGTCAACCTCGGCGAGGTAACCCACGTCGCGCACGGCAGTGAGGTCGATTGTTGTGCCAGGGAGACCCTGGCTACGGCGCCACTCCATGAAGCCGTCCAGGAAGACGTTGGCGGCTGCGTAGGCGGCTTGCCCTCGGTTACCGACGACACCGGAAACGGAGGACAGCGCCACGAAGAAGTCGAGAGGAGACTTGGTGAGTGCATCGTGGAGGTTCCATGCACCGTCGACCTTGCTGGCAGTGACAGCCTCGAAGTCTTCGAGGTCCATGTTCTCGAAGAGCATATCCTGAGAAGACGTTAGTAATTTGCAAATAATGAAAATGTAGCAGGTTGACTTACCCGAAGAACCATTGCACCATGGACAACACCGCGAATTGGTGGCATATCCGTCATATCCTTCAACATAGCGTCGACTGACTTGCGAGTACTGACGTCGCAAGCCTTGACGGAGATGTTCGTGCCGCTAGGGGCCAATTCATCCATCAGAGCTTGTACGTTCGCATTGACTGCAGCACTTCGTGACACGAGTACAATGTTGCGGGCACCCT